TTTTAAATTTGAACTTAATATGTGTATAAAAAAATTACCTTGTTATTATATATTTTACCAAATTTTTTGGTTACAATATTAACTATTAACGAAAAACCTTGTTTTAAGTTCCAATATTTAGCTATGRAAATGAAATATTTTATACATTTTTAAATACAAAAATTCAAAATAATTTTTATGATTTTTATTAAAATTTGAACTTTAAACCTTATAAGAAATCGTATCTATGCATTTTTTAGATTTTTAAAATTTTTTATGAATTTTTAAACTAAAAGAGTTGCGAATTTTCATGATTTCTACATATTTCGTCGAAATTCCAACTATAGACGCTTATAAAATATTACCGTAGATTCACGCTCAATTTTTTTTTTTTTWAAATTTCAAAACAACAAATTATGAGAAACATTGTATACATCTTCAAGTTTTTTGATAGAACAGAAAATTTTTTATCGGGATTAATAAGAAAAAAATCTAAAAATTTCATAGGCCTATAAATAGCTTAAAATAATTCAAAATATTTTGAATAATTTAATGTGTGTAGAGAATACGAATATCTACATTTSATAAAAATGTCACGTATCTACGATTATTATTTCATGCAGTACACCGTACATCAAAAACCCAAATCGATTGGCTTTGTCTAAAAATTCCTGTTTTTCTTATTATTTTTTTTCCCTGACGCGTTTAAAAACTGTTTGGAGTGTCTAGATTCACTTTCACACCAGAAAAGAACCATTATTTTACAACTTATCGTGTAACACATACACAAAAAAAAAAAAAATATATAAATTAAAATTAAAATAGCATTGTCTTTCGGATGACGTATAGTTTTTAGAGATGTCGATGAGATTTTCGTTGTTATTTTTAAGCATGCCCTTATGACACTCAAGTGATTGACGTCATTAAATTATGAAAATAATATATTTTCAAAAACGTATATAGCTTTTTAAATAATAAGTATCTTACGTCAATGTATTTTCAGGCAGTGTATATATACTGTTCAATTTAAATTTTCGTTGTTATTTTTAAGCATGCCCTTATGACACTCAAGTGATTGACGCAGTTTATTATTATATTAAAGAAAGAATGGCTCAGTCGAAAAAATCTAAAAATATCATTTAAGTATAAGATTTTGTCCTTTGAATGTCCTAAAAATACTACAATTTTTAAACAACTTTAAAATTACCTTAAAATTTAAATTGAACATTATCAACAACACTGAAAATGTATGAAACAATTTCTTATACTGATTCAATATACGTGAAACGTAGATTAAAAAAAAAAAAAAAAA